TCGTTTTCCATCCCATTTCAATTACTTGGCGTTGGCGCTTTTTCGTGGGACGAGTCAAGGTTGACTGTGATCACCACTAAAGCCCAATTACGCTCCAATAACCACGTACATTCCCTAGGTGAAACCAAAACAAGGAAGAAGGTTGGATACAGGAATGAAGGTATGTTTGTTGGAGATCTCGTAGTATGGAAAGAATACCGAGATTTCGCCCAAGGATACAGACGAAACTACCGCGAGCACGATAAGCACGATGGAGGCGACACGAATGGAAAGTGGGTGTGTAGAGTACGGTAAAACAAGGAGTATAGTACAACAATCACTAGTACAATTTGTTGTAATAATGAATGTTTCTATCAAATCGATCGCGTTCTCTTGATAAGAGTGGAGTCACTATAGGTTCAACAGTTCTCAGCGGCACTTCCCACAATTAATGATGCTGAAGAGTCGAAGGAAGCCGAACAGAATAGTGACACTACCATAGCAATGTGGTAGCGATTGTGTTAAGATCGCAAATGTTTTCTATAAATGAGTTCGATTTATATTTTAAACCTCTAGTAATTCTTACTTGGTGTCGCTAAAGGCAATTTTGTCTTGGATTCTTTTAGTAAAAGAACACAAAGAAACTTGATGTTCAAGCACGGCTAATAACCGTGAGATTTATTTAACTGAGACTGTTTTTAATCATTATTCAAATTGTTTTCGTTTTTTATGTGGGATATTGGTTAGATATTTCTGTAGCGTTTCTAATGACGCAGAGTTTCTTACAATTGGTTGTTCTTGAGCATACATATCCTCTAGGATTTCTAATTGCTGACTGAATAGGAATTTTATATAAGCTAACTCATTCTAGGTTTCGCGTGTTGAAAGGTTTGATGACCCACTACGTTTTATCAATACCAAAGCGTATAAAGAAGTGAAAGTCAAGTATTATCTACAGATTGACGAGAAAAATAGTACTGATCCTAGTTGCAGTTCAAATTACTATTTTTTTCAATGACATATCCAAAGGCAATCAGTAAGTGTTCAGATGCTGACATACTAAACTGTTTTCCTTTGAGACGATAATGGTCGCTAGGATTTATTTCAATCTATCATTACTTTAGCCTTATTAACAGGGCTCATATTGGGGTTATAATGGCAATCCATCAAAATTATAAACAGTATCAGTTCATTTGATTTGTCTTTAACGTTATCAACTGTTGTCTTAATATTTTTGGTCTTTCGAAATGTCATTTTTTATATCATACAAATGTATTCTCAGTTATATGGCTAGTATGTTGGGCAGACATAAGCAAACAAAAACGGAAATAATGAAGTACTCTGCGGGAATTTTCGTAATATGATTTTAATTTTGTGAAAAGTTATATATTTCTTAACTGAAGTGTTCAACAATGCGTGTGTATATAGTGTGACTTGACGAATTACTTATTTACCTTTAACAAATCAACTCTATGATTTAAGTGCGAATGCTGACAAATGTCAAGAAACTGTTAACAATATCAAGCCTACTCCCTCGTAGTGCATTGGTATTTCGTTGGAACTAAGGTGCTTTCGAAGTTTAATCCTTAGTGATGTTATCGATGACCCTAAATGTCTAGCCATGTTCGGTTTCCTGAGTATGGCAGTTATTATTGGGTACAAACTGCACGTTGCCAAGTCATCCAAGTGTACCATAGTCAGTAAACAGAGTGATCTGTTCTTCCACTTAGTCACTAAATCGAACTAGTGTTCACGACAGAATCGACTGAACCCTCGACATTCGGTATTCTTTAGTTCCTGCTGGGGGATAGTCGATATGTATCCTAAATTTCATTTATTTCTCAGCCTGATGATCACAAGCAGAAAACGCCGAACGTTGTATAACTCAGAGGACGAATACAGAACGATGATGACGTTTATTTACTCACTACGCCGATCACAAAACCACAGGCATACGAAGATAAAGCAAAAAGATATGTGAATGTCAAGGAGCTAATGAAAACGATTAAAATGTACACATATTTATTGTAAAATGAGTGAGTCACTGGGTTATTTAAGCGACTAACACTTAATCTAGCAGAATTAAAATGAACGTAGTCTGTAACCCATGCTCGAACATACAGGCTCATACTAGCGCGAAAATAATAAAAGTACAGTGGTATAGAAAAGTTTTTGCTGTTTGAACGAGTCTACCTTTTGAATAATTCAATAAAAGGGCTTCATAAATGAGACGTAAAAAAACTGGATTAAATGCCTTTTCTTCTTGTTCACTGCCTTTTACTGGTGAAGCAACGTACGTACAAGACTTGTTCATAGCATACTTCTGGTTCCTCCTTACCAACCTGACCATCTCACTACACAGTGCGTCCACCTAATCTGGCAGTGTAAGCAAATACATAAATATGAGACTTTCTGGAAAAGCTCCATTGTACCTGTACCTTCAGCACACTAAGCCATGCGTTTAGGTATCACTATTCTCGCTTGCTCTTCGAGACTCGTATATCATTTTGGCTTCGCGTGTCTGTGCTTTTGTGGTCTGCGTGTGGTGTGATAATAAACGTAATCAACGCCTCGTATTACTATTCTGATCGATAAACTGTTGGGCGTTGTCTAGTAACGATTATCAGGGCGAGGAGTACACGAAGTTTAGGAACTGTATAGAGTACCGACTGCCACTACCGAACCCACATCCACCACGGTATAAAACGTTATTGTAATGAAAGGAAGTAATAATAACGCTGTTGTTGAGATCTAAAATATTCATAAAGAAATTAACAGTGGGAAGGGAAGGTTCAGCGTGATAAGACAAGATGTTCAAATGGAAATGAATTGTAATCAGAAGGATAAAAAAAGTAGAAACAAACCAGATGGAGGTGAAATGTACATCGAAAAGAGGATAAAAGGGACTAGATGGTTGTAAGAGAAAAAATTTTTAAAAATTTTCTTACAAGAGATCAAGACTATGGTGAAAGAAGCAATTGTACCAGTTTCTCTTGTACACAAAGTTCTGATTTTCCCAGAGACATAGCACGGTGCTTCGACAATGCTAACAAGACAGCAGTCATCTGTTCTCGATAGCTTCTTCTAGCCTTATAGATGATTTTGAACACAGAATCCGTTTTGACTGAATGATCTGTGTTCACAATCTTCACAATGAATATTCAAGATCTTAACAACAACAACATTATTATAAATTCATGTACATAAAATAACGTTGTTTACCTTTATCTAATTTGTCTTATTATTACCATGTTTAGCAAAATTTTTATTATCACTATTATCGTCATCTGAAAATGGTATAGATTTGCGATTGTACATCCTTGTGTTAGTGGGACATAGATGGAATTAAAGCATGACTACGGTGCTAGGCGCTGATTGGCTAATTTCCTAATCCAATAAGCGCCTGATCGATTCTTGGAGAAAAGGGTAGAAAATGCTCGTGTTGTTAGCTGCATGCTGATTGGCTAAATCTAAGTCAGTCAGTCAGATGCAACGTAGAACTTCCTTCGTACGTAAGTACATCAGTTCATGTTGCCATACCACATTATTAGCACAAAGACGCAAATGTCAAATCAAATCCAATAGTAGTAGAGGTAGTAAGTGAATAAAAAGTAATCGGAGAGGTTAGGGTTAGAAGATACTATTCAAGAAGTATGATTCAGTGAGAAAAGTTTAGAAAGTCAAAACTAGAGGTGTTGAAGAATCCAGAAGATTAGGATTTGAGAGAACACAAAGAATAAATGCACCTGCGCCATTGCAAACGATTTTGAGCCATGTCATTCAAGGTCTCTAACCATCGATTATTATCATCTCGCGGACCTCAACCAGGTAGTCGACAATTACCAATATGGCTAAGTCCACTAGTCAATGACTTCATGGATTTCTGCCATGTTTTGGTTTGGCCGCCCCTAGCTTTCTTCCAACCTACTCCTACACTACAAAACAAGGCTCGTCGAGGCAGTCGGTGGTTCGGCATACGCAAGACATGTCCCAACCACCTCAACTGATCAAGTTTCAATACTTCATCAATTGATCTGCCATCCTTACCTAGTACTCGTTTCCTAACGACAGCATTGCTTACTCGGCTGTCCCACGGTATACAAGCAATGCTTCGAAGACACCTATGATCGAAAACCAGTAACCTACGAATATCTTCTACTCTCACTGGCCATGTTTCACAGCCATATAGGAGAACGGAGCGAACTGCTGCACAGTACACTCGTCCTTTGATTAGAGAACGAATATCACGCCTACGCCATAAGTGACGCAGGCTAAATCTAATCGATCACGTGAATTACTATCCAGAAGCTTCTCATGTCAATACTATAAAGAAACTAACGTTGTATCTACTTTGCCTTCGCCTTCTTATTTCCATTAACCTTGCTATTTGGAATTTAATCTTTTCCTGTTCCACAGTGTTTTTGATTCTTTAGAACTTGTCCAGTGTATTGTGGTCAGAGAATACTAAGCAACAGGAATTAGTAGGGAATTATTCAAGCAAGCGTTACAACACCTTGAAAATGAATTCACCGAAAAAAGAACTTTTTGTTGTTTTGCATCTCAATGGGTATATATTCCATTTACTTGATGGAGTTAGCACATGTGTTAGATTATAACGCTGAAGCAATGACGGAGATGGAAGAAAAAATACTTCTAGTTGCTGTTATCTGTAGAAGTCAGGATTACACCATTTTCGGGGAGGGGTAAATGAAATAACAGCCACAATTTTTTTTACAGTTTACTTATTACTTAGTTACGTCGTAAGCTATGGATCTATTGCACAGACTAGAAAAAAACGATAATGTACATACTTAGTTTTCACTAGCTGTATTCGAATTTACTCGTCATCAATGATCAAATTATCTTTGATGTTTTTTACAGTCTCAAAGAACATAAGTAATTGCAGTGCATACATAGATTGTAAATTTTATTAGAAAAATCTCTTTACACATATATCAGTAAAATAGAAACAGTAGTTAGAAAAATATAATCTAATTGTAGCATTTCAACTTAGTTGAACATCAGATTAAGATAACATCACCACTTTCCACATACGATCGAATGCAACTGTAGGGTAGGAGATGTTGAGCACCAGGTTCCAAGGTCAATGATACCGAACTGTAACCAACAAAAAAAACCATAGATTATTTCAAATCAATATGTTCACTCGCTAACTCCGGATCTTAACACAAAGGTGATATGGATAATTATGAAATAATTATCAATTTTGACGTTTTATGACTTAATGCAAGTCACTTTTCCAGAGTAAATCAATATTTATTTTATTTTAGGAAAAAAACTTTCCACCCAATGCTTAATTTATTTGAAACTATTAAGATATTTTTTAAAAAAAAAACTAGATAATTTAGATTACAACTTACTTTTGAGTCCCATCTGAACTATAATCAAATACTTCTACATAATCAATTCGTTTCAATGATTGACAAAATACATAACTGTTTGGATTTGGATGAAAAGCTTAAGAAAAAAAGGAAAAAACCAGGTAACAGTGAATATATTGTTTAGCTGATAAGAAAATTTCGCCAGCAAGCATAAACATTGAATAAGAAGATAATAGGCAATTGTAATTATAGTTTAATACTTGGAAGAGTTATTTATTTATATTTTTTTGTATGATGACAAAAACAGATTTAAGTGCTGTTGATAGACTAACCATGGAATACTAGAAGCTTTGATTTATGCAAGATATGAAGCGTTTAGTAAAATGCTAAGGCAAACAGACATTAGTCAAATGGTAAATGAGTGCTGCTAACGGTTGTACACTATTATCAAAGATCTGGATTAATGTTCTGAGGAAAAAGACATGAACAATTGGCTGAAAAGGTAGCTTAATTTTATGAAGTAAATAGATAAGTTTTTGAATAAATTATGCACATACTGCTAATTTCTGTTTCTCAATAAGGCTTCCTAATTACTTTTCTGTGTTTTCTGTGTTCAGGTAGCTACTTGTGTTCGTATAAAATAAGTGTGTATACCAGATTCTAGAATCTGACGATCGCACAATATAAAACAGTTAGGTATATTTAGCTAACCTAACTACGAGAGACGTTCGAGTTCAGTCTAAAAAGTCGATGGTTTAAAGTTTAGAGTGACAAAACCACTAAAATATAGGCTTTACTGAGAAAAGTTGTAAATAGGTAACAATATATAAGGCATTGGACGAGAAACTGACGCTTTAAATGTCTCTCAGAAATAATCGTATTACTTAGCTTTGAAGTAAGGTGATGGCTGTGAGCGCAGAGTTCTAGAACCTCTACCAGCGGGTGTGGTTAGATTATATATATTTATAAATATAGTTATTGTTATTATTATTAGTTGGTTTACAGTAATATAACACGATGCCAAGTAACAATTATTAACTAATTCTTAAAAAAATACTATAAACTCACCTAATTCTTCATCTTTAATAGACTGCATATTAGCTGGTAAACGATTAATAATTGTAGTTTTCAAATAATCTCGAATACTATTTGAATATCTAAAATAATGATAAACGGTTAACTGATTCTTTCATTCTGACAAAGAACAAAAAATCATTGAAAATTTACGATTTCGCAAAAAGATATTCTTCCACTGTCAAATGTGGCGGTTCATTTGAATTACGCGAACGTTCTTCAGTTAAAATATGTTCAGAAAATCGTTCAATCTATCAAATTAAAGTAATAGAAATAAATATTGAATAAAGAGTTGAAAAGTATGGTGAATGACTATTTATTCGATAGTTTCATATATATATATATAGCTGTTACTAAACATTCGTTTGACTTTTATAAAGTAACAACAATATTTCATACAGTAAATTCTGTTCATATAAAATATTTGTTTTACTTTATACTAATTTTTAAACCCGTTTGTGATAATCAAAATAGAATTCATTGTACTTAATGACTGACTTTCAGTCACTGGATGATATACGAGTTTTAGAAATATTCTTTGTCTGTAAAGGTTTGATTAATCACAGACCATCACTTATAATCAAATGCACAAAGTTACACTGTCAAGCTAAATACCAATGATAGAGGTAGTAAAAATGCCAGTCCTGATATAAAAAAATCAAGGAGGATACAACTCAAGGAAATCGGGTTAAGATTCTTATGATAGTCGCAATCAATCGTTGTAGACGGTGGTTGACATGGATTAGAATCTATCGCAATGCTCACTCTTTTTCTTTCTCTTAGATTTGGAGCGATCAAGATAAACTTCATTAATATGACTAATCTTCATTGATGAAATTAAATAAATCAATGCAGAATAATTAAAAGTAGAATTACTTTCTACATTACCTTTTTCATTCGAATACGCATGTAATCAACCATGATAAATCGGATTCGTTCGACCTGTTGTTGAGAAAAATAAGAAGGAGAGGTAATATATAAGATCGGCTGCCACTATTACTATTGCATTATCCACTAATAACTAGTGACATACACAATGTGAAAACAAAGGTACATTGAATCAATTATGATGAGGTTAGAGAAGAAAACGGAGTCCCAGATGATTTTGGCCATTTGTAGCGACTAAATATTATTCTACAACGTGGTCATTGCCCCATATCAATTTCGCAGTCATGATAACTAACGTCGAGATAGCATGAGAATGTTTATGTAAGTTATGTATAATTATTGAACAACTTATACCGCATAAGAAAATTATAAGGTTTCTGTGTACGGTTTATCAGACAGTCAAAATCGGCGACTCAGAACTATGTAATACGACTTAACATCGATTGACGTAAGTGGATACGTCTATCTTACCACTTCAAACTTTTTGCTGATCAGCATCCCTTATATTCTCATGTTTTTTTCTTGATATAGAAAACTGCCTAAATTTCATTCATGTATGTAAACCTGTTCTATTCTATGCTTATGTGTTAGATTAAATGACGTAAATAACTTATCATTTGTGATATGTTTCCTTTGTTTACAAATTTTTTTTTGAATTTATAGGCTTACTTGAATTCGTTTAATTTGAGCTTTTAAATCACCAGCTGGTAAAGTTTTTGCTTCCGCTTCTAATTGATTCACTTCAGCTTGTACAAGACCTAATAGGTCAGAATGTGCAGTTAATAGGACAGGAGCAAGTTTTTCATTTTGCCATATCTATTATCATCAGTATGAAAGAATAAAATCAAAACAAAATTAAGACATTCAAACATTGGATAGTTTTTCAAAAGATAAAAAATTCTCTTTTAAGATGTATGAGGAGTACGCATAGTTACTTTTAGTGATATTGTATTGTATCATATTATATTATCATTGTTAACGTCTAATTAATTCACCTATATACTTTGACATGATCCATATGAAGTGTGAAAGCTAATACTACCTGAACCAAAGTAGATGGAACTAATTTCCAACACTGAACTCAGTGGCTGAAATTCGAATGTTTTAACCAATAAGCCACCAGTCCACTTGTCAGTATCTACTTCAAATAGACAACCAATAGTAAACAAAATTATCAGAGTAATATTATTTAGGGATTAGAAATGAGATTAGGCGATCTTATCTAGAACAACAATTACAACTTTGCTATTCTGAGATGGTGGAGAAAATTTGTAGCTCAGATGAATGACTGTGGTGGTGTTTCGTTCTCCGAACTGGATGTTTTGGTTGCGAAGCTTTCATTGTTCTTCTGAACAACATCACCACAATCATCCACCTGAGCTACAAATTTTCTCCACCATCTCAAAATTATATGAGCGTGACACGCTTCTCGTTGTTCGAAAATGGAAGAATTTCTCCAAAAGGCAGGCTTCCATTCGAGAACAACTCTACTTTCTCAACGAATGTCTTCGTCAGCATGTCCTGCCAACAAGTGTCAGATACAGACCACCAATCAACTGCCCAATGGGATGGCGAATAGCGGAACAAAGTAGAAGACATATGGTATAACTAGCGATCACCGATGCACACTACAGGATCCACAAATACCAACACAACATGGATCAACAAAGAAAAAAAACTAGAGAGAACACTCACATTAGAACACTTAATAATATTGACAACGGCGATCGAGGTGTCAAGCAGACGATACAAAGAACAAATAAGAAACATCCTCAAAGATAAACTAATCAAGATTTCAAAACTACCCACAGAAGAAAACTCAAACAATTGTGTGGTCAACCTGGAGACAAATGAGATAATATGATGCTAGCAAGTACGTCATGGATATTTGTAGCATTTTGTACAATATTGTTAGTGTGAAGTGGCAGTTTTTTACTACTTATAACGTTACTACATTAGATTATTTTGAGTGAAGTTATACAAAATCAAACAGTACATAAACTTACTTAAGTAGAACATTGAATTTAAACGCATAAAACAAACCTTATACAAACGTTTCAGTAATTCAGCAGATGTAAGCAACTCTTCATTCGACTGATTTTCTTCATCCGAATCTCCAATAATTTCATCAAGCTCCGGTGCTAGAGGACCATTAGTACTTGCATTATTATTATTATCATTATATTGAGCCTAAAATAATGTGAAGTGAATGGGGAAAAATGATCTCTAGTGTAATGCAAGGATTAGGATAACTATAGTGATAAATCATATTAGTATTCAAAAATTTAATGTATAATGCTGAAGAACGATATACATATACATGTATGTGCCGAAATCAAACTGTTGATGATAGATAAATGATGGTGAACCAACATTACAATCTTATTAAGCAAGATATCCTTCGGATGGAGTTCACTTCATATGTATTTAAATGATTCGTTTGTGATATTGTCTAGTATTTTGAATGCTCTATCTATAACTAACTATTCAGCTTTTATTACGAACTGTTCTTGCAGTTTTCTATATGTCAAGTGAACAGTTATCTCTCGAATTTCTTATCTATATATCAAGATCGTTATATGATACTTGAAGTATATGAACGCTTTGTAATGTAAACTCTTATTTAACAGACGATTATACATACGATTTTAGAATCCCAGTTAGTAATATAATCGAGAAAATTTTTTTCACTCAGCTACCTTTAATGGTTCCCTTTATAACCAAACAGGTTTTTTAATTATGTATTCATCAGATAGACAGATAGATAAACATCAATATCAGTATGTGTTAGTGTCTCCAATAACAATCATACTGAGTACTACATATAACTATCGAAAACAGAATATCGTAACATCCAGGGATCAAATGATGGAATCCAATGACGTATCAACAACTCCTATTAGTAAATAGACAAATACGAAGTGAAAACACCAAAGTTTAGGTCATAGACTGCTGAATAAAAACCAACAAGCACTAAACAGTTGCTTTTCTCTACTGTGGAAATCTTTATTAATCGAAATTAGACAAATATATCATTTGGATCCTGGCTCAGTGATTTAAAGGCTAAGTGCTGACGGTGATCGTTGAAGGTCCTGAGTGCTGTTGGACAGAACAACTGTTTTGTGCTTCATGGCTTTCAACAGTTATCTAAGACCAGTCTATGGCATAAACTTTGGGATTCAACAATCGCCACAAAACACCTATAGTGAAAAAGGTAGTTGCACTGACAAGATAGTTTTTATTCAATTATAATTTTGTACAAAATGATGGAAAAATACAATGATAATCATAATAGATTTTCTTTGGTTTCTCTCACTCTTTCTCGACAATTTTTGGAGCTAATTTTCGTAATCCTTGAACAGCACGCGGAGCCGGTGGTTTTCCAGCTAACTGATAAGTTTGACTATATTCATCAAAAGTGAATGTGAAACGTGAACATCCATCAGGCGGTTTGAATGAATGCACCGATTTTAAATGATGTGTAATTGTACATGGTTTACGAGCTTGATACGTTGGACAAAGATGACAAGAATACCATAGACCATCCGGATTACTACTTAAATGATAACGTCTATAATGAAAACGATAAGCGGATAATTTTGTAGATTGATAAGAACAACCTTGAACTTGACAATAAAATTTGTAGTTTTCTTCTGAAAATGTATCAATTGAAGAAGCTATTTTAAAATATGGTTGAGAAACATGTTTACGAGTAGTTGAAACTAAATTCGATTTCTCAGTGTTCACTGGAGTTTCTCTATTTAATGATTTGGAACATTCACGTATATGAGAAGTCCAACCTTCTTTTGTAATAAAAACTTTTATACATGTTGGGCATTGAAATAAACATGTACCTTCAAGATGTTTTGGAAAAGGTGAGGATTCACTGATTAATTTCAATAATATTGAACAATTGGCACTATTATCATCTGAAATATAAAAAAAAATAACATACGATACTTTGGATTTATTTCCCATAAATAGACATTGATTAGTTCACTGAATTTTTGTTATGAGGTTGAATTCTTTTCTTTATTAATTCCAATCGGTAGCTCTTAATGATCAGGATATTCGAGAACAATGGTTCGATGAGACTGCAGATTACTGTAAGAGTTGAATTTCAGTCAGTCAGTCAGATGCAACGTAGAACTTCGTACGTAAGTACATCAGTTCATGTCGCCATACCACATCAGCACAGAGATGTAATTGTCAATTGAAATCCAATAGTAGAAGAGGTAGTAAAGGTATTGGAAGTAATCGGAGAGATTAGGATGAGAAGATATTATTCAAGAAGTATGATTCAGTGAGAAAAGTTTAGAAAATCAAAACTAGAGGTGTTGTAGAATCCAGAAGATTAGGATTTGAGAGCACACAAAGAATAAATGCACCGGCGCCATTGCGAACGATTTTGAGCCATGTCATTCAAGGTCTCTAACCATCGATTATTATCATCTCGCGGACCCCAACCAGGTAGTCGACAATTACCAACATGGCTAAGTCCACTCGTCAATGACTTCATGGATTTCTGCCATGTTTTGGTTTGGCTGCCCCTAACTTTCTTCCAACCTACTCCTACACTACAAAACATAGCTCTTCGAGGCAGTCGGTGGTTAGGCATACGCAACACATGTCCCAACCACCTCAACTGATAAAGTTTCACCACTTCGTCGATTGATCTGCCATCCTTACCTAGTACTCGTTTCCTAACGACAACATTGCTTACTCGGTTGTCCCACGGTATACGAGCAATGCTTCTTAAACATCTATGATCGAATACTAGTTGACGTGATATCCAAAACCAACTGGATGTGTCCGATTTCAATTCCTATTCTCTTACTCTTACCTAACTACTTGTGATAATGAACTGATTATTATATGAATAAATTAATTGACCACCATCTTATTTGGGATTGATTTTATATTTAATTAGAAAATCTATTTATTAGAGTAGAGCTTTAATAAGGAATCAATTGATTGACAATTATCTAAGACTCTTGTATATATTTACAATTATTCAAATACACTGATTAATTTAATTGATGACTAATCATTCGTTAATGTTAAGATATTAACGTTCAATATACCAATGAAAGAAATGATTTGGATTAGAATAAAAAAATACCTGTTTCAATGAATCGGATCACATTTTGATGATCTTTCACTAGACTCCATGTAAAATGCTCCTTGAAATTAACAAACTCTGTAAAGCATACATTACATTTAGAACAAATGTAGCGCGGTAAACCAGTATGACGACGTACATGACGATGAAAATGTGAACGAGATCCGCTTAGAGAACCACAAATAGTAGATTGATCTGAGATAATGAATGAATCTATACTAGTTGATTGCCATAAACAAGTCAGTTTAGCATTACTATTGTCATCATCATCATCATTATCATTCACATGATTATTGTCATTTGAAAAATCATGCTCCTTAACATGTTCAACGAATAGATATGCTGAATTCGTACTAAATAATTAAAAAAGAAAACCAAGTAATCAAGGCATGAAGGTAGATAATAATGTCCAGTTAATTAATTGAAATAAAAATCAGACAAAAAGTTGAGAATACAGTTAAATTATTGTCAGAAAATACTAATAGGAAATTTTACACTTTCTCAAGTGTTTGGAAATATGTTACACAGACGTTACATTAAATTGTCCATCCTCTCTATTTGAATGACTAATTCATTGCAGTGGTCAGTTAAGTGGAGGATATATATATATGAAACCTGAAATCTGATGTCTCATGTTAAATATCTCTCACAACATAACACCAAGTGCGTTGCAACACTGAATCAATTAATCTGATAATCTCACTAAAAAATTGATCAAGAGGAACACTTAGTTGACCGAGGTCAAAATCTATTGGTTATCATTCAAATGACAGGTTAGTAATCACTAAGTTTTCCCGTGCATATAGATACACTGAGCTGAAACAAATCATATCAATTAGTTAACATGAGGTTTTAGAACGATTAACTCGGTTTTACAACGTGTTAAACAGTCTTGATAGTAAAATATGATGAACTCGTTATAACATCATACTGATACGCTTGAGTACTACTACTCAACTATAAAATCAACTACAGCTTTAATTACAATGAACGAGACTGATTCCTGGGCCTTCACTTCTCTACCAGCTAGCTAGAGACATTGGTTAAGCTTTGGTCAGAAGATTTACTTTACTAACGAGAAGGAAGATTACTTGGAGTACAACTGTCACGTATGAATACACTAACGATGTCTTTGGTAATACAGTAGTGAAATAACCTCCAATAGGGTAACAGACTCCTAGACTAATGATGTGGAAAATGTAGACAAGAAGCAATTAGTAATAATTTTTAATTCCTTTGTTTACTGATTATTTTGCATGAGACTTTAACGTCATGTCCACTGTCGAGGTGACGAGCAACCGCAATGTTGGAAACCATCTGTTTGTATGGTCTCGACTATGCTGGAATATATTGGTAGATGAGGATAAATAATCAGTCTGTCAGTCAGTCAAGAGATTCTAAAGTCTTAGCTAAGGAAGCTTATCGTGCTCTTTGGCACAAGGTTCGAACATTAAAAGCTCTAAAATGTAGTTTAGAGCAGGGTTTTAGAAGACCAGGAATAACGTTTCATGAACTCGAAACGTTCGCATCAGCAGCGCGAGGTGGAAAAGGAATGGAAGAAGGGTTGATTGTGGAGATAAAAGTTATTAAGAGGTGTAGGAGGGATTTGACTGTGAATAATTTGGTTTCTTGTGTCGTTACGAGAAGGGGGGCGGATGCCCACACCGTGGAAGGGTATTTCTTGAGGAACCTGAAAAAGAAATCAAGTTAGTGTTGGTCTGACAGACCTAGGGACGTGACCGCAGAGCCCAAAGAACAACTGTTTGAGGCCAGCCACATACGGCCTTTTTATGAGAAGTTTTCAACGTCTTAGCTCCGCTCATTTTAAAAGGCCTTATCGTCGGAGACGGAAATCAGTGAGGTATGACATTTTTAGGGTCGGCCTTTTCTAACCCTTCCTTCCTTTTGAGAAGGCAGCATCCCTGCAGATACCGGTTGTCTGAGGGAAACACCCTACTGCTGTCACACCCATCTGCAGTCAGCAGTACGACTTCGCCCTCAGACCTTGAGTAGCTGCTTTTAGTTTCATGGTTCTCCAATCGACCTGCCTGGTATGTTAGCACCTACAGGAACATATGTTCCATCAGATATAGCTCAGTTGGGTCATCACGATAGACAAGCCCGACCACCATGTCAAGGTCGCAGCTACAGTCGGGGGAGATGAGGAAAAAACCCCTTTCTGTCTTTTCGATGTATTTGCTTTGTTACGTACATGTAAACTGGTAAACACATATGGAGGTAATGTAAGGCGGGTATTTGTCTAGATTTGATTGTCTTAATGAGTATTTAGTTTAATATAGACATTAATTTGGCCACTGTGTACGTTCATTTCAGCAATACCTTTGGTCTAAAATCAATTCTCCCGGCTATTTAATCACCTTTGAAACTAAGTTTTAGGGAGACAGGCTTTTTCTACACCCAAACTTTTCTACTGTCAATGGTACGGTTACCAGCACTTGTCTCGAAAACCTCATCTTGTTTTGCTGATTTACTGTGGCGAATTGAACCGATACAGACGTGTCAGGTTCTAAGTTATTGAAATTGTAGATAAATGCTGTCTACTCTTGATTTTCTTGCCCTTAAAAAGCAATTTTACTTCCATACTTGACTATAAGGTTCAAAAGTGTAAAATTATAATCAGTTATTAGGACAATGCTTTTGAACCTCATCAGACGGATAGACTACATTATTAACATTTCATCATCATCATCAACAGAACACGTAGAATTTCGCACGTAAGTACATCAGTTTAGGTTGCCATACCACATTAGCACAGAGTCAAGTCAAACCCCATAAAGGTAGAGATAGTAGAAGTATTACTGGTAATGGAGAAGAAAGGATTTTAAGATATTATTCAAAAAGTATAATTCAGTGAGATAAGATTAAAAAGACAAGGGAAGAGTTGTTGAAGAATCCAGATTAGGATTTGAGAGAACAGAAAGAGTGGATGCACCTGCGCCATTCCAAACAATTTTCAGCTATATCGTTCAACGTCTCTAACCATCGGAGACCTTCGTCTCGCGGACCCCAACCAGGTAGCCTAGATCTACCAACATGACTCAGTCCACTTGTCAGTGACTTCATGGATTTCTGCCATGTTTTGGTCTGGCCACCCCTAGCTTTCGTCCGAACTATTCCTATATCGCAAAACATAGCTCGACGGGGCAGCCGGTGGTTGGGCATACGCAACACATCTCCCATCCACTTCGACTGATGAAGTTTCAATACTTCATCTATTGACCAGCCATCCTTACCTAGAACCCGTTTCCTAACAACAGCATTTGATCACTTTTGATGATTGTATGTAACAACAGATTGATTATCTAATTTAACTTATCAACAAAAATAATTTATTAGTATAGGAGATTTGTAGAGATTGTATTATTTTCACAATAAAAATCATGGAATGATCTTGGACAGACCACTATTAGAAATCTGAAGGCACTAAAGGGTCTCTCTATTCAAATATGGGATTCATTAGCAGTGCATATCGACGATCATGCAGGCAGGAATTCAACTCAAGACTTGCGGTCTTGCGCTCGAACACTTGACCCCCAGACTACTGGTTCAGCATCTAACAGTATTAATGTCCAACATTGGAGGTGCTAGGTTGGATTCACTAGTGCAGGATCGTAGATGTGCACTGCAGAAGTCTCATACTAACACAGTCACCCTTAAGTGCTTCCAGATTTTCAATATAGGTCCATCTAAGATCAGTTCGTAATTTCATCTGTGAAAAAAAAGAATTAATATAGAGTAGAAAAATCGGACAAATTACGTGTAGTCACAGTCTTTCCATTGACAGTCAAAGCCTCTGCTCAAAATTATAGGATTCCATAAGAATTTTTCAGTTGATCGTTGAAGATATGCCGGTTTTTGACAACTTATTCCACAACATACAAAACTCCATGCCTTATAGTGAGCTTTAAGAAGTTTAGTAGTATTTACTATGCAATCTTCAAAAAATGTATGTAGAAGTGTATGGCGCAACAACTGGTTGTTTTCTTGAAATATATTGTTTCGGCAAGAATCCCATAAACAGACAAACTCAGGTACATTATTCAAATGACATTCAAGTAAGTGTACATGTAAACGATTATAATTGGGAAAAGATTGATAACAATTACGCCATCTACATTGAAGTAGTAGCTCTACATCTGAAGGGGAAAATTAAGCAATACATAATAAGGCAGTATAAGTAAAATGAGGAATACATAAAACTATGTTTAACATGGAAATTAGAGAAACTAATATACAGTAATCAGTTACATTGTATCCGAGGGTTCAAGACTATGAATCACATAGTTAGAAATCGCTTGCAATGGTGCAGGTGCATTCATTCTTTGTCTTTCACTAGATTTTAAGCTTTTCCATTCATTAGGATACTTTTTATTTCAATAATTTAAATTTTCTTGACTATCATCTTCAATCCTTATTCTTTTCCATTACCAAAAATAATGTTACAACCTCTACCACATGGGATTTGGCCTGACAATTTCATCTCTTTGTGCCAATGTGGTATGGCAACTCAGACTAATGCTCATACGCATTAAATTCTACGTTGCAACAGATTAATTGACTGATTACATTTCAAAATATAGTTCCACTATCCTAAAAGTTAATAATACCTTTAAAACTGAAATAAAGTAATATTATACCATTTGAAACAAGTTTTAGCGTATGAATATATACAATAATTATACACCTCGAAATTATCATACAAACATTTACTAGATAATCTACGATTATAAACAAGGCTCGGATCAACTCAAGGACTGATTCTATGTCTTGGTTTGCCTGTCTACAGCCTTTTCCCAACCTACTTCTACACTAGTAAACATCACATGTCAAGGTAGGGCATGACTATTTGCGTGGAAAACCCACAGACCATACACATATTTGTCATTCGTTGCCATGTGGACTTAAAATCCAGTAAAACATCTCTATCTTGCGTATGTTTTTTCAATATAGAATAACCATTGTAGAAAGCATTAGTCTAGTGACTTGGGAAGTAAGTCAAAGTCACCACAAAAGTATGATGAAAGAAGAAACTACAAAAGGCTAGGAAGACAATCAATAAGAAGATAGTAGCGAAGCTTATAACAACTCACTATTTTCAGTTGTATTTTCAATTTTCATTCGATTGTATTATTCATTAAAAATACGAAAATCTAAAACAAAAAGTCATAGATTTCAATTAAATACGAAAAAATGTAAATAATCAAATCTATGTGAATAAAAAGTAAAAATCCTTTCAAAGTTGTAGGAGATATGCTAAAAATCAACAAGCCTGCGAGAGATCTAACCTATGAGCTGATCACTAGTAAGTTGTAATTCATGAAACATAGCCAGCAGAAAATAAAAAGATAATTTGTCAGCGGTGTGTAGTGGCTGGATAGACAGGCTAACTTTTAGATTTAGGCTTGCCGTTTCTAATTAGTGGTGATATTTTCAACAATCACACAACCAAAGATTAATTTCCACTCCAAGTGTCACAGTTTCCCATAATGTGCGACTATGGTAAAACAAGTATTTACTGTCATCGATGCACCATTTCAGTTCTGACAATAATGCGCCAAACCTCAACACTGAATCTACGGCTGAATTGTGGGGATTTAGATGTTTATATGTACAAATGCTTTATTATGAAGCAATAACGGGGATGAACCTTGGGCAACTTCACTCACCTGACAGTACATACTGTCTATTTTTGTCACTAACCACGCACGCTTAAATGAAGCAGCCTGATTATGTTATTGCTATGGAATATTACTGTGGTAAATAGCTAAAATACAATGCATATTTTCCTTAAAAATGACCACGCAAGAACGGTATTCAACAGTTGAAAGATTAGAATTTTAATGGTTAAAACATTTGATTTTATGTAAGAAATACAACTAGAACTTTATATTCGTAAACAAGACTACACAGAGTACGTTTTTACACCAACCTTACTTACATGTTTGTTTTTATAAGAATTTGACATTATTTCATACTCTGGAATCGATTTTACGCTTGTAGCTAATCCTCACAAAGACACTTCTCCAACTTCTATAAGACAGAACAGCTCTAACCTAATTCATATCTACTTTAGAAACTAGATATTTATCACCCTTGCTACAGTTCAAAGTTTATATCTACAAACTAATTATAAAACATATTTAAATATCTTATCAATAACAGAAACACTACAATTCCCCAACAGTATTTATGTGTTATTATTAGAACAGGTAACTACTGGTAAAAATAACTCTTCAATATTTTGCTTCAAGTCTTAATTTGTAAGCAAGCTTGAGAATTGTTACACGTACAATAAAACGAAATTTCGTTCTTTTGCTCATTAAAAAAATACAAATTTTCATCAATAATGTCAATTACCAAATGCCCACGTTTTTTATAACCCATAAATGTGTACTTTATTTAGACATTTCTAAATTCTGAATACGTTTAAAGATAGGACGTTAGAAACCCTACCAATATATTTGACCAAAACTTCTCAAACTTTAATTATGATGTATCTACAGGGATCAGATACTAGGATTGCGAGTATCATACATACAGCAACCTAATTCATTAGATAGTATGAATAAGGATGTCAAGAGATAACTCAGTTGAAAATTTTTGGAGTTGTTGAGCACCTTATAGTCATACATAATTAGATGCAGTTACAGAGAAGTGGAAAATAAATTACTACTCCATAATGGTAGTGTTACATTCGAACAAACGATAAGATTAAACCTTGATACATGATACAAACGATCTTACATAAAAGCTTCATGACAACCTACTAGAATGCTGAGTAGCGAATAAATCAACCACTATTAATAAAACTAGATATTAATAAAAACTTATGGCGTAAATCAGGTGACTGCTCTCGTTTTAAAAAAATTGTTGTGAAAGTAATGGTAAAACGTTTATCCGGGCTTGGAGTTTCCACCCCAGAGTGAACGTAACATTCACCAGGTGAGATAGTACACTACTACTGGAAATGAGATGTTTTCAGTGAGAATTCAGTCACAAATAGACTGATGACGGTAATATCCATAACAAGATCAGTCAATTTCTTATAAATGCTCCTCTCCAGAATGTTTCTAAATTTCATTACAGAGCAACTACTGCTAAAATAACAGTAATTGTGTTCAGCCTTGCAACGTCACTATTTATCATACTACCTTCATCTCGGTGCGGTCACGTGGTATGGAAACTTGAGACAATATACTTTTGCAACAAGCTATATGTTAATTATGACTGACTAGATGATCCCAGTTGACATCAAGATGCGGTAAATATAGCTCCGTTGGATTACTAAGACACGTGAGCATACCCATCACATCAGGATAAAGGCTTCGTATCAAGTCATAATTTTGAAAAATAGAAATGTGCATACTGAGAGTTCAAAACACCAGATTTATAGAATTGGAAAATGCACAAACTAAATTAATGAAAACAATTTTAGACTAGGAAACTTTTATTTGTAGTTTATAGTTCAATCTACGTTCTTAGTTATGCAAACTATCTCATAAAATGTAGTCCACAGCAAATAGTTAAACCACATAAAATCTGAAGGTTTTGTCTACATTGACTTTTTGTGAATGTTCAACAGCGGCTTTTCATGGAAATCAAAGAATAAAGACTCTTCAGCTGCACTTGCCACTGTAAAGGCACTTACTATACAAACTCTCAACTTACAACATTTATCCACAGCTTCTAAGTATTTACTTAACTTCCGTTTAAGCAACTCAAATGACTCCTTAGTATAATCAGATGATTCAACCATTTCGCCATGTATCGAATTGGGATCTCTTTTTTGTATCTGACAAAACAAACACGTATTATTCAGTAAGGCAAATAAGAAGAATAGCTGTACAGATTGTTACTGCCTACGAAATACTAACGTGTGAAAGATAAACCACAGGAGTCAGTTTGTTGGCTTTAACTGTACTGTTAGTTGTAAGCTAACAATATCCAATATACTGAAAAATAAAGTTGTACGAAATATACATTTTGCAGAGATAAATGTGAATTCAAATATGCTGTGAAAGGGCATTTGAGGAAATTCAAAAATCTATCTCTTCAACATTCTAATTTACCACTATTCCGAGGCTTGACAGCGAAATACTGAACCATTACTTTTTGAATTGGTACGCCAGATACATAGATGAAGTAAACATATCACCATAGAATTTGTTCTCTAAACATGCTAATTACAAAATCATGGTTTGATATATTACGCTGAACAACGAACCTTGGAATCTGAGAAATGAAAAATTTAAAAGGTTCTGCACGCTTTTTTAATAGCTACGGACAGATATGAAAGCAAGTAGCTAGTCTACGAAAGAAATTACGAGCAATTCAATTAAGGATAGCTCTGAAAGGCTTCATAGGAACATAACATCAAAAAATCAGCGAAATTCCGCCTACCTCGTTTTTATGAATAGTACTTTCTCCCTGGAGACCGTATACTCGACGCAAGTAGTTTGTGTAGTCAGGGCATTTTACTGATTGATCTCATCAGATTTGACCAGACTTACATTCAGCCATTGCGCGGTAGCACAAAACTTGAAATGTGTTCACCCGGTCTCTATAATAAATAACAGCAATACAAATTCTGGGGCTGGACTTCAACAAATGTCTGCCATTTTAAGTCACCCATCATTCAAATGATTAGTAATTTCTTCGTTTTAATTTTCTTTTTCACAGTATCATGACAACACTGAAGGTCGTTCATAAATTATGGAAAATACAAAAAAGCTTAGAACGGATTCTTGAAGTGGCGATCAAACTACGGGACATCGGTACGTTTTTAATAGCCAAGAACGAGACTTCACTGTTCGTACGTGCATTTTCATCGTTTCCTTAATCTCATTGGTTGATTTTTTTATCACAGTGATTGAGTATATGTTGGTTTTTAATTCTAGGAGTCTGGAAGCACCAGTAAAATTTATTACTTCAGTGAAGAATTTCCGTTGAATATGATTTGAATGAAACTTTCGGATGTTGACGATTTGATTTGGTTCTTCATTTACTGGAAATTTCCCCACAAGTTGTTTAAAAATGAAGGAAGCAAACAAAATACATCAATAGATAATTCACTTATTAAGGTGGCCTTCTAGATGTGCAAAGGTATAACTGAGATATTTAATACTAAAAAAAACTTTCCTAGTTGAATTCAATGGATCAGTTAACCTACTCCATAACTCATTACATTTTCATATATGATGTTTCCCCCTATTTCTCTAAGAGTAATGATGCATAGAAGGTATTATAGATATTTATCCACGTCAATCTAACAGATCTATTTATGACTTTATTGCTGATATGACCACATTGTTATTTAGGTCTTTGCGTTAGACCGATTTTTTATCTCTAGTTGAACAATCACGAATCGCAGGAACCATACAAATTGATCCTGCATTAGGTCTGAACTTGCAATAAACCTGGATGCTGACAACATAATCGGCCCACCAACACGTCACTATATTGACAGATCAAATTTTTAGGAAAGGTATTCTGTCTTAATAGATAATTTCAGGTCACCTCTTCAACTGATTCCTCGAAAAGCTTACTGTGAAGATGATTCAAGAAGAAACCGTCAATCCGACTGAAAGGTACATCATACCTGAACATGGACTAAAACAGAGAAACTTGAGGTTATTTAGATGACCATATGGCTTTGAATAATAAAACATCACTCATAAACCTTTTGGTCACAGCAGGTTTTCCGGATATCCTGTGCTCTGAGAAGATTGATAGTGCATGACCTACATTTCTTAAACCCGTGCCAGGCTTCATGGAAGATGTTTTTCCTATCCATGGGCTCCCTCATGCATTCATTTACCAATCCTTCCATTACCTTCGTTAATACTAGTAGTTATGGGGTTAGTCTGTAACAAGCTGATTCGTTCTTGTCTCCTCCTTTAAAGACTGGAATGAGAGTATCTCGTTTACATTCCATTATAATTTGGCGTGACTCTAGCGAATGCCCGAACAAGTCGATACCGAATTACAAGGCTGTCACGACGTGGTTTTCAGATTTCTTATTACTAGGCCAGAAGAAAGTCGAATGTTTCATAGACGATCGGCTGGTAACATAATTCAGCAGTGTTTTGAGCTTGTAGATGCCTGGTTAACTGGTCGGT